GCCTGTAGATGAGTGTAAACTGCGGAGTCCTGGCCTGTAGATGAGTGTAAACTGCGGAGTCCTGGCCTGTGGATGAGTGTAAACTGCAGAATCATGGCCTGAGGATGTAGCTCTTCTGTGCTGGCTCATTCTTTTGAACAGTGGCTGCTTTGTTTCCCCGACGTATAACTGGTCACAGTCCTCCTGACACTTAACATTATTCTGTTTGTGCACAGCTTATAAGGCTAAATTTACCTAAAACTCCTCAAACTGAAGAAGTTCGTTGGAGGAAGAACCCATCCAGAGGACCTACTTAATTTATTTTAAATATGAGTAGATGTTTAAATCTATATTTATTTTAACTGTTTAACTTTATTCTCTGACTTTTCTCGCCTGCTCTGTAGGTGGGTCAGGTTCAGGGGCTCAGGGCACAGTTCAGGGCGGCCCGGGGGCAGGAGGGGTCAGCAGTACCTTGACCACCCAGGCTGCATTTGAATATCGTGGCACCTGGATCCCTCTCATGAATGTCAGCGTGCAAGGAAGTGCCAAGGCTACATAGTAAGAGTTGTTACTGTAAAGACACTAAACTGTTTTTGTGTTTTTGGAGGGTTATTTTATATTTTTTATGTGTCCATATAAAATATTGTAAAGCTACAGGGTTGACGAAGCAGTAACACGGGGAGATGTTAATATATTCAAGCTTGCATAAAGAATTAGAATTTCTTCTAAAAGCAGTAATAAAGACTTACCTTTAAACCACAGGAGGTTGAAGTAAAGCAGAGAACAGAGTTGCTACAGTGATTCTCCTGCGATGTTTCAAATCTGAGCATCTGATGAGTAAAAACTTTCCTAAGATAGAAAAAGGAATCCTCTGACATTAATGTGTGTATCTACTGTAAACAGGTTTCTTGATGGCAGTATAATGGCAGCATGTGAAGTGCAGCAAAAAGCCTTTAACACAAACACATTTACAGTAAATGATCTCATTAATTCTCTTTAGTTTGGAGATGCTGGACAAGGTGGAGCCCCCTTCCATCCCAGAGGGCTACGCCATGTCGGTGGCCTTCAGCGCCCTGCTCGACCTGGTGAGGGGCATCACAACCATGATTGAAAGAGAACTGACCATGGAGGAGGAGGCAGCCGCAGAGTTCAGGGAGACTCACCCCGATCAGGAGTGGAGGCCGCAGCCTGGTGAGGACGCTCACAGGAAAATAAAGTTACAGGAAGTGCAAGCTTGTTCTGATAACGTGGTGGAATGTAAATACAGGTCAAGGGTATACACATGCTATATATACTGTGTAAAAGTCTTAGGTTTCCTTCAATATTTACATTTTGCTTTCAAGTAGTCAAGCTTTATTTTAATATTTTAAATTGGTTTTGATGAGTAGTTTGTCTGACGTATGAATTGTTTTCAAATATTTACACAAACATTCAAACTAGGGATGCAAATTATCAATTAATGGATTAATCTAAAGTTGATTGATCTTATCGATCGACTAACGATTAATTGATAAACGGAAAATTTCCTGAAAACCTGACATTACTCTTTCTATAACGTAAAGGGCTAATTTTGTACACACTAAATAAAAAAAGTACAGTATTTTAACAATTCATTGTGCCAGCTGTGTGAGTAAACACTGACTGAATGAACAGAAAGACGTGGATTTCTCTCACATTATTAAACTTGGACATATTTACAAAAAATAACAAAACAGAAATCTGTTAAGTTGATAGTTGAAAAAAATAATAATAAAATAAGTAAAACACTTAATCCATCCTGAAGATGAAAAGCTTATTTAAACACAGGGTAATATTTTAAGATTAACTCAAAAACAAACTAAGAACATAATAAAATATCTCTGAAAGACGTGAGATACAAATGAGTACTGGTTTCTTTGTTTGTTTGTTTGTTTGTTTGTTTGTACTCCGTCTGCTTCTGTCTTAGCTGGCTGCTGGACGTGTCGTGATCTGACATCAGTTACTGTTTATTAGATTGGTTCACTGGCCATGTTATGTCTCACAGATTAGATTAACTTCATATTTTTAGCGACTGTAATGTTTTTGTTTTGTTCTTTCACACGGAGTTAAAGTCAACGAGAGGAAGCTAACGTTAGCCACAGTTAGCTTACCGTTCTGTCATGCTTCTCTTGTTTTAAGCGTCATACTGCTGGATAGTCAAGTACAGCTTTCAGTACTTTTCCTTCGGGTTTGGTATAGTCCATTATCATTGTTGTGTCGCAAATAAAACTAAATAAGATTTGCACGTTTGTGGTCCCACCCACATTATTGAGACGGCTTTCCGCTGCTCAGTTCAACTGGGCCGGGGTAGAGCAGCAGCACGCTCTGCTGGATGAAGTCAAAACTACACCGAAATAAGGTTTAAACGGCCGTTTTCAATTAATCGAATGGAAGAAACTTTAATCTAATAAATCATTAATCGACAGTTTAATCGTAAATCGATTAATTGTTTGCACCCCTAATTCAAACATTTTCACAAACATATACACTTTGGCTGCTACTTGACTCATTTTCAGAAGATTTTATAGTTTTTAATTAGTTTGTTGAAGCCATTTAAATGACTTGTGAACAATTCAGTCATAAACATTCCTAAACCTAAAAGATGAACCAGTGTTGTGTGTGTATACACAACAAATGGCTTAAACAACTGATTTTAGATTAGACTAGATCAGATCAACTTTATTGTCCCCAAGGGGCAATATGCTTTGCAGACAGCAAAATCAATTGGAGAAAAATACAGTAAAAAAATAGAAATAAAAATAAAAGGACACCACAACATCCATATAGCACACAGTACTATAATATACCACCACAACTTATTTGGGCTTATCTTAAATTATTAATGACATGGATTAACATGGATAAAATAATAGAATATTTATACCTTTTCTATTACATTTTATTGCCATGTATCTATGAGCAGAGGGCAACTACCTGTAATTCAGATCAGATTCATTTCTTAATGACCGCACAACAAATTGGTGCTGAAGAGGGTGAGTTGGCTCAGCAAGACTCTGGTTCTGTGGAGCTGGAGGAGCTCTACCAGACTTATCCCTACCATTTTGCTGCACATCCTTTCAATGCTGTTTAGTCTGTGCTTACTTTTCAGGGTAAGACTCAAACCAACAAATAAAAGAAAATGTTCAAACTAGCTGACTCGATGAAACAAGAATAAAACATTTTCATAAAAACGCTGTCAACATTAAAACTTTGTAATTTACGATAAAAACACAAGCGCTGTTGGGTTTTAGCACAGGCTGCGTCTGTTTTAGCCGCAAAGGTCCAGCGGTTGTCGATAATTGTACCAAGATGTATATATTATTTTTTTGATTTGCACACATTGCAGTTTGTTCCCTGCAACATGTGACAGACACAATTTGTTATTATTTCTTCAACAGAATTTATTGAAAAAAACAAAACAATGTGTAATACAGTATTATTTGTTTATACTTGTTCTGTTTTTGTTTCTTGTTCAGCTTATTTTAGATTCCTTGGAAGCAAAGTGTACAGAAATTAGAGGTGTTTTTCTTTTTTTTCACAATTCTGAGATAATTCCAGTTCACTGAGCCTCCAAGTGGCCAACATTATACCTGTTTGACTTTGCAGTTTCATAAGACAGACAATAAAAATATTCAACTCATCTGTGTTTTCACCCAAAACAACACAAATTGGAGGATAAAATACTAAAATGTTCCTGTAACCATTTGTTTTTCTGTCTCAGGGTCCCATCTGGTTTGGGAAGAGATGGTCAATGCCAGCTGGTGTGGACTCCTGGCTGCCCTTTCTCTGCTGCTGGATGCCAGGTAAAATAAGGAAATAAATAAAAACAAATAAATAAAGCTTTTACTCTAAATACATGGAACAATAAAGTTTTTCAATCACACGTCAGGAAAAAAATGTTTTAAATACCTAACAAGTAGGGTTGCAACAACGAACCGATAAAAATCAATTATTAAAATCATTGGCAACGAGTTTCATTATCGATTCGTTGTGTCCCATGATTTATGCGTCCCTCGCCATGTTGAGGAGCCGTTTACGTCACCTGCAGAGCGTTGTCAATGCTGGCTGAACTAAATAAAGTTTAGGAAGAAAACAAAAAACTCTACCTGTAGATGCGCCCTCTCTGAGACTCTCGAATGAAAAGCAGAGACTTCGAACTTTAAACCAGTTTTTAAATCATGTTGTTAGGCCAAGTAGATCCGAGGAAATGATAGAAAGAATATGCCTCAATTAATTTTTTTAAAAAATGTCTGATTTGATGCGCGCCGCGTCGTGAGGAGGAAACACGTCCCGTGGTGAAAAAAAGAAGTAGCTCAGTCGACCTCAGTCCACCATGTTTTTCCTCCTCTCGGACCAGAAATATAAAACCCTCGTCTTTTTTCTGACCGAGGCTCAAAGTTATTTGATAAACAACAAAAAGATTCAGGACAAAGGGAAAAAAAGACACAGCTCCTGGTCTGACTCAGTGGGGGAGGGGGGAGGGATGGGGTGCTGCTTCAGAACCGGGTCATTCAGTCAGACAGAACCGGAAGGAAGCAAAACGTAAACAATTAGAGAAAAATCATAAAGTCTAAATGCAAATAAATTCTAATTATAATAATAAATTAATAATAGTTTTACATCTAAAAATCATATTTTATTAGTTTTATCTGTTTTCCTCATTCAGCAACCAATTAAATTTTGTTTTGTTATGTTTTATATCTATAACCAAGTTTATTAATGCATGAGAAATCCACATTTTTGGGTTTATTTTTTTTTCAGTCAGTGTTTAATACAGCTGGTAAAATCAATTGTGAAAATATTTATGATGTGCTTATTTTTTTTATTTAGCATATTATTTAAAAAAAATCCTTCATTTTGTGAAAAAAGACCCTCTTGATTCAATAGAAAACTCTGGTTTTTAAGAAAATGTCTGCTTATTAATTACCGGTAACTGTTAGTCAGTCTATAAGATGCATCAACTTCGGATTAATTAATTAATCGATAACTTGCATCCTGAATTTATTCAGGGAATAAATGAATTTATATCTACTCATATTTATGTAATTAAATGTTTTAATGATTTGGCCAACTAATCGATTAATCAAAAAAATAATCGACAGATTAATCGATTATTAAAATAATTGTTAGTTGCAGCCCTACTAACGAGACATTTTTGATAAGTTTTTTAATGTTTTGTACAATTTAGACATAATTTATGAAACCTGTAGCCTCAAAATACTGTTTATAACACAAGCTTTTATTCTGAAACTCCACCAAAAGCTTATATCAGTAGATTCTCTTGTAACGATTAATCACAAAATTTATGAGGACATTATTGGTTTATGAGAATCCTTGAAAATGTCAGTTAATGTACAGAAAATAATTTTACCAAGCGAACACACACTTCAGACTAGTAGATTTCACATTTCTGTTTTCCCTCTTCCATCCCGTGTCTTCAGCACGGACGAGACGGCCACAGAGAACATCCTCAAAGCGGAGCTGACCATGGCCTCGCTCTGCGGTCGTCTCGGCCTCGTGACGCCTCGAGACGCATTCATCACAGCCATCTGTAAGGCCTCTCTGCCGCCACATTACGCCCTGACTGTTCTCAGCACCAGCACCACCAGCCTCTCCAGCAAAGGTACCACTTCCAGATGAAGATTGAATGTTAAGTTAAGTTAGTCACCCACCTGACCTGTTTATATACAGAAACATGATAAAATATCATATCTTTTTATAATGTTTCGTTCCTTCACACTGCAGGCAAATGTGAACCAAATCAGGTTTTTTTTGTCCTTATTCAACCCATATTAAAATTTTTCATGACATTCTGAATGGGACAAATCTGATCCAACCCAGGCCTTTTCAGTATGTGGTACTGAATCGGATACATATCTGATGTTTTTCAAAGTGACTGCAGTCTGAATGCTTGTGTTGCGTTACATCAGACTTTTACACCTGTGAGGTGGGGGTGAGTGAATCGATCCAATAATAATGAAACTAACCTCAAATCAAGCAGTTTAAATCTTGTAGCTCCACATCTTCATCTACAGAAGTCCTGTTGCTTCCTCTTTTTCTTTTAATTTTCCATGTCCTGGATGACTGATCATCCACAGAAATACATGATAGTAGTATCACAGAAATACGTGATAGTAGTATCACAGAAATACATGACAGTAGTATCACAGAAATACATGACAGTAGTATCTGTTGTGGACTAGATCAATACTAAAGTTACTCCATCAGTACTTTACTTTTATGTTGTCACTTTGTTCCAAAAATAAATGCTGCACTAGAGAAGCCGGTCAGAGGCAGATTCAGATATAAACACTGAACTAATCAGTCATGTCAGATAAATGTTTAACCCTCTCTGATTGAACAGCAACTTGAGAATCGACATGCTAACATGAGCATCCAAAAGCTACTTCTGTAAACAGCCAACTGAAAGAGTAACTTACCCCAAAATTAACTTTTTTTAGCTGATAAACTGTCTAGAATGTGTCTAAAATGTTATATAGTACTGTTTC